TCGTCCGGAACCAACTTGCTCGCCTTGCGAATTCTTGATCTCCACCTTATTTTGGCCTTTCCACATCCCCTAGCCAGCTGTCCATTGAACCCTCGATTTGATCTTCTTCAATGTCGTGAAATGGTTGAACATCTTCCATGGCTCCTCTTAATAGATATCGCGCTTGGGAATAAGATCGGACGGTATCCGCATTCCTTTCACCTTCTCCACCAAATAGAGGTAGTGTTCCTCGCCGGTAGGTGCAAAACAAAAGCCTAGATACATGGTGTTGAATCCGAACACTCCTTTTCTACAATCTCTCGCCAAAATAGTATCAATGACTTTCTCTTATCTCTTTTCATAGTGCTTTGATGTATTATATTTATATGCGTCCCGACTTGCCATATTTATGAATCTATCTATAACTTCTTGAGATGAAAGAGATGTAGATAATCATCTCAATCTTTTGTAAATAAGACCATTTTATGAACCTATCTAATTCGAGCCGTTGCTTCAAAATTGTATTTTGCTATTATCTTATTATGTTAAATCTAGATATAATTTGAACACATTTCTAAAATTCCAGCTTAACACAACAGGACACATATGACATATAAATATATAAATTGGTTTTTAGACGTATAAATCAATTTGATGTGATAAAAAAAGAAAACAAAAAATATACATGTACACACACATATTTTTAAATTACATAAAATTCGACAAGTTTCACAATTCAAACCACTTTGATCTTTAAAAATAGAGATTTCAATATCCAAATTTTGGTCAACAATACTCGTTTGCTGTGTCGAACATGCGTCATAATTTTTGCACGACAAATATGTTAGTCAAAAGGAAATTCCTCAATAACAATTCAAAAGCAACTAAAGAGTATCCTCGAAACTTGATATTTAGGCCATGTGCAAGTATTTTAACTCAAAGTAAACTCAACAAGCACATTCGTCTTCCTAGCTCAAAACTTAATGTCGAATCATTACACTTAAGTATTCTCTTGGGCCCAATCCCAAGAGCTCAAATTTACATATCTTCGATAATTATCTGATATGTATGGGACAGAGAGAAAAAACACTCAATGGGAATTACTCAGGTGAAGAGTCCCGGACACCCATTGATATTAAAAAAAAAAAAAACATAAGCCAAGTACAAATAAAGTGCTAAAGGAAGCTATATTTTAAAAAAAGTACAAGTTATCTATGTTACACTAGACTGATTTATATCACAGTGCAATTACATATATGAATGTAAATAATGCAAAGGAATCCAAAACTATCTTTGAAATCTGAATGATTTACAAAGTAATGATCTAAATTTACATATATATCAAATGGCCTAGAATCTGGGGATTATAAATGGAGAAAATATTATATAGAAGATGAAATCTAAGAACTGGATCTAGGAATTTGTAATAAAAAGAAAAGAATAACAAAGATGTATGTAATTTTTAATTTTCGTTCTAAGTATTCAAAATATCTAATATATTGAGAAAATAGATAAAGGATCTCAGATATATCTCTAGATCTAGCAACAGAGAAAATATATTTTAATATAAAAGTGCAGATTTCTACACAGAAAACTATTAAATAAATAAAATTAAATAAAAGCGCGAGCATTATAAATAATAAAGAAACCGTAAGCAATATATAGAATGAGAAGAAGAATTGCTAGAACTTCTAAACCAACCATGTAGGTGGTATTGTTATGCAAGAATGAAAAGGGCAAAACGGTAATAAGAAGTAAGGATATATAACAAATGCAGAGAATTGCTTTAAAGTAGAGTACAAACCATCCATAGGCGGTTCGACCTACCGTTTGTGGGATACGTAAACGTAAATGTATGGAAGAAATTAAAAGAGAATAACTGTTATATAAATAGTATGGAAAGATTACAACAACAGTATTGAAGGATTGCAACTAAAAATGCAAATATTGAAGTACAAGTGCAAAGTTTATAAAAACCTTTGTATTCTCAGATCATGAGTAAGATCTGGAATATAAGGTGATTCAGGGATCTAGGAAGTAATGGAACTTACTGCTTATGGAAAGGTTATGAGATGTATGATCTCTTATTTCCTCGAAGAAGGTTTGGAAAGATCTGGAGAAACTAGAGAGATTTGGAATTCTGAGAGAAAGGGTCTGAGAAAATTCTGCCCTCTCAAGGGAGTGAGGTATGATTATGTAAGCAGGCTGGGTTCCTGTAGAAATAGTTTACGGGTAGTACTGTGGTAAATAGTAGTAAGTGCACAGTGTTACAGTGAACAGTGAACGGACATAATTATGAAAATTTGAAAAAGGAAAAGACTGACAGACTCCTTTCGGTTTAGAAATTATGATGAGTTATGAAAATAGTAGGAGTCTTTCGGCGCCTTTCACCTAGGAGAATCTGGAGAGATCTTCTACTGGTTCAGGCTCTTCTTCTTCTTCTTCATCCTTCACACTTGCCCAACGAATGGGGGCTATTCCTGGGATGCCATAACAATCATCTTCGTTGGAATTGCCGCTGTGATGGGAATGAGAAGAACTAGAATCTTCAATTTGAGAAAGGGCCTGTTTGAACATTCCTGCTAACTGCTGATGAGATTTAGTAGATGCTAATTTGGACAATACAAACCCTTTATCATGCAGGAATGGAGTTATATCCATATATATATATAATAAAAGTAATTGAAGTTTGTGGCTAAAAGCCATAGCCTTCAATTGTTTTAAGTTTTCTACTAAAGTATTTGAACTAGTTGAGAGTTTTTATAATTTGGACATTTTTTGTTTGTGACTTGAACTTGTTAAGTTCTATAACTGTTAAGTTAGTTCTTTTAAAGAATCTAAGGATGTCAAAACATCATAAAATAATGATATAATAGCACATATACTCAAATTGTAATGGGTATTTCTTAAAACTATGGGTAACCTTGCTCAATGTCATGTGCAACCAACATTCAAATTCTCAACTAGGATAAATAATATACGACTTTCAGGAACGTAAATGAGTTGTTTCATAACTATATTGTTTCGAATATTGGTTTAATTTGAACATATCAAATTCATTCATCGGGAAAATTGTCTAAAAAATCCTAAACCTTTTGCATTTGTGCCAATTTAGTCCATCCGACCAATTTTGGCTGGTTGGTGCTGACGTGAACGATGACCAACGTCGGCCATCTGGCCAACGCTGACATAGCAATTTTTAAAAATATTTTAATATTTTTTTCGAATTTTTATTACTTTTTTTCCTTTTTTCTTTTTTTTTTTCTGCCCTTCTTCTCTCTAGCTGGTGAGATCGACCTCACCAGCCTCTAGCAAAGCTCACCCCCTCCGGCCACTGGTGAGGGCGGGGCTCGACCTCGCCTACTAGTGACGGGATGTGGTCGAGCCTCACTGGCCCTCACCTTTGGCTGGTCCGGCGACCGACCAGAGAGAAGAAGGGTAGAAAAAAAAGGAAAAATATTAAAATATTAAAAAAATTGCCACGTCAGTGCCGGTCAACCAAAATTAGTCAGATGGATTGAATTGGCACAAATGCAAAAGGTTTAGGACTGATTTGGAAAAATTGAAAAAATTTAGGACTGAAAGCAAAATTACAATAAGTTTTGGACTTTATGAACAATTTTCCATTCATTCATATGGGCAAAAGGACACCAGAAGTGCCACAACTTGTGTACGGAGATCACTTTGGTGTCATAACTTTTTTTCGGAACACTTTGGTGTCAACTTTTTTGAAAAATGATCATTTTAGTGTCAATACTGACGTGGCTCGCCGGAAATCCGATGTGGCGCTGACATGGCTCGCCGGAGAGGTCCAGTCAGCATTAAAAATAAAAAACGACGTCGTTTAGCCCGCTGACGTATACTTTTTTAGAAATTTCTTTTTAAATTATATAGAAAAAAAAAAAAACGTTGCAGCAGCGGCGGCGAGGGAGCCCTCGCCGCTGCTGTCGCCAACCCACCGCCGCTGGGAAGGGCTGGCGGTGGTGGGCGGAGTGGTTGGCGAGGATCGCCGGCCCCTAGCCGAGGCCCGGCGACCCTCGCCCAGACCCAGTGAGGGCCGGATCCGGCGAGGCGAGACCTCGCCGTCGCCTAGGTTGTGACGGCGAGGTCTCGCCTCGCTCAGCAAAGGCGAGGTCTCGCCTCGCCCAGCAAAGGTGAGGCCAGATCTCGCCGTCGCCTAGGTCGCGACGGCGAGGTCTCGCCTCGCCGGATCCGGCCCTCTCCGACCGCTCCACCCACCACCGCCGGCCCTTCCCGGCGGTGGTGGGTTGGCGGCAGCAGCGGCAAGGGCTCCCTCACCGCTGCTGCAACGTTTTTTTTTTTTAATCAAAAAATTAAAAAATTCGAAAAAGGCACCTAATTTCCAAAAAAACCACATAATTTCCACGTGTACAAGTCATATCATTTTTTTAAAAATATAAATGCCAGGTCAGCTTTTTGGCCAGAATTTTGGTCGGAGTCACTAAAATGATCTATTTTCCTTCGACTTGGCACCAAAGTGATCCGAAAAAAAGTTATAACACCAAAGTGATCTCCGCATACAAGTTATGGCACTTCTTGTGTCCTTTTGCCCATTCATATGTGTCAAATTTTTGAAACTCCAAAAAACGAAACTTTGATCAAACAAGTTCCAACATGCAAACATTTAGAAATGTTTACACGAATATGAACATTTCTAATTGTATCTAAACTTATCGTGTTGATAAGACTATAGTGTTAATCTATTTATCTAAAATATCTAAACATGTCATAAACAGGCTAAAAAGGTGAACTCGCGATCAATACATTAATTATTTGTGTATAAACCGGTCAAGTCGTTTACAATATAAAACATAATTAAGCTCAATCGAAATATGCTTAACTATATGTATTTAACAAAAGGATCTAAAATTGCCAAGCTTTCAAACAATCTATACGAGCTTTGTTAATTTTCGTGAGAGTATTACATGATGTACATACTGCTTACACAGACATTACAACAGCAACAGGCCTTTCCTATAAGCGTCATCTCCTAAAAAACAGAAAGAAAAAGGACTAAGATTAAAAAAAGAAATTACATAAAAGCAAAAAGGAAAGAGCAAAAAGTAAAAATAAAAATATAAAAAAAGGAACACTTTTTGCCCGACTAGATACTCCAGATCCTTTTCAAGGACAGGATCCGATAACCCGGGGACTTGGACCGATTTCGTTCGGGCAAACCCATTTTCTCCAACTCCTTATGTCTCTCCTCCATCGGCGGCGGCGGCGGCGGCGGCGGCGGCTCTTCCACCGTTATTTCCTCTAACTCAACCGCCTTTCTCGGCGGTGGCGGCGAAGAACAAGAACCACAACAAGACGGCAACGACATCGGTGACAGAGACAAGGACGAACTCATGCTCGTCTCATCCTCGGAAACCTCAATTAACCAAACCGCCCCCTGTGCCGCGGCAGCGGCGCCGACGTCCTCCGGTGGAGCCACCTCCGTAGCTGCCTGAACGTCCTCCTGGACCGGCGCTCTGCAGAGCGGGCAGCTCGAGTGGGACTCGAACCACGTGTCGATGCAGTCTGCGTGGAAGACGTGCTCGCACTCGGGCAAACGACGGCCCGTCTCGCCGTCCTCGAAGTCCGACAGGCAAACGGCGCACTCGACCAACTGGCCAACGTCGCCGTTCCCGGAGCCCGCAAAAGTGAAGACGGAGAGGGACTTGAGGACGGACACGTCGAGGCCGCTGCCGCCGCCACCGCCGCCGGAGGACGAGTTGGCGGCTGCCGGAGCGGAGCGGCGGCGCTGGCGGACACGGCGGCGGCGGGGGATGGACCAGCGGGCGTAGCTGTGGAAGCCGAGGATGGCGAAGACGGCGACGAAGAGGACGACCACGGTGCAGAGCATTATCTTGCCGTTGAGGGCGTAGTGGCTGGCGCGGGCGGCGGCGGCGGCGGAAGAGGCGGAGGCGCTCGCCGTTGGGGTAGCGGAGCCGTCCAAGTTGTCCATACGATAGAGAGAAACAGAGAGAGGTGAAGGTGAAGGTGAAGGTGGAGGTGGAGATTTTTGAAGGGAGGGTTTTAATGGAGGGAGGGAAGGAGGGAAAAAGGAGAGGAAGGTTCCTTCCTGTGTGCTGCTGCTGTTGGTGGTGGACACCGTTCAATCTCTGAGGGACTTGCACAGGTGGCGCGCTCTTTTTACTGCCTTCCTTCCCTCCTTTTTTAGGTCAATCGTGCTCCCCTAACCATGCGTAATGCACAGTTCTTATTTAAAGAAAGGTAATGTTACCGCATATAAAAGTAGATTTAAGAGCAATGGCCTTTTGATCTTTTGATATGTGCAGACGGCTCGAACCTAGAACGGTCTGCATAAGTAATTTGCAAAATTCATACAGACGAGATCTTTTTGCTCCGATTTTAGCTACGTCGTCATGCTTGACGTCGACCATACATGAAATGCCTGTGATTTGTCAATATCAAATCGCAAGTGGATTTGTATGTCTCGTACTCATAACATGGGCAGTAATGTGCAAAAAGAAAAGGCTAGACACTCGTGTATTATAGAGTGATCTGCTATGAAACTCAAAGCACATTTTCCATTGTAATTATGTTACTGTAATTATGAATGTAACGGCTCTATTTGTTTTACGGAAAATAAACGATTTCGAAAAGCATTTTTCTAAGAACGATTGGAAAGTATCATCGTCGTCCACAAAAATATTTAAATATAAATTGTCGTCGATAATAAAAATATTTTTCTATTAATTAATTATTTTAAGTGATGCAAGCGATTTTTTAAAAGAAAATATTTTTCTAATCATTTATTTTTTTGCGAAATAAATGGAGCTTAACTTGCATAATGGTTATTAGTACTACTAGTGCTACACGAGAGGATCAAAGAAGCAACTAGGTGAGGGAATGAAACTATCTGCGCTGCTGAATGTACTTATACAGCTACAGATAGAATTAGGACCGTGTCGCCCAAATGTGATTGAGAAAGAGCTGATGCGAGAATCAACTCTTCCTGGACATCTATCGCTCAAATATTGTATTAGGCGACAGGAACAACACATCGGGCACAGGCGCTAATGGAGGCAAACCCATGGGAAGTTAGGCCTGCTCTGTTTCCTTTCTTGTTTTGTCAAACATGGCTTCCCGCTGGAGAAGTCTCTTTCTTCCTAGGGCAGAAATTGATGGGAATGATCGATGGGCACATCTCTTGAAGGCCATATATATCAGGTCATCGATGGGCTAACTGTCGAATGCAAGTCTCGTTCAAATGGGATCACGAACGAAACTAGGGAATTTAAGTAAATATGGCTCTTGGTTTGACCATCAAACGTAGTATCCTTATGATTTTTGACTCGGGTTGTATGCTACGAGTTAGAGAGTGCACATATATCTTATGGTTCGTGTCGGGTCTTGACCCAATCCAACCCATTGACACACCTAGTTTGGCCTGTGGGGAAACTATCATGGAAGTTAGATATAGAGAATATCACACCCTAAAACCTACCGGGATGGGGGATGACATGGCCGTCCTTCCATCTGAAGGACGCAGCCTCAAACCACAACAATAAATCCAACTCCCAAAAGTCCCCACGACATAGCTCTCGTTCTATTGGCTACTAACCAAGGAACCTGTTCGATCAAAAAAAAAAAAACCAAAGAACCTGAAAAGATCAGGGAAGAAAGGAGTGTGAACAATTACAGCTCAGTAAGTAGTGCTTATATTTTCTAAGCAGATCAAGCACCCACTATGCATATACATATAAGTATAGAGTAACACCAGAACTTCATAAGCCAAACTCATGGTGTAAAATACATATTGAATCACATAGGAATTGTTTCATTTCAACAAGACTTTATACAATTTAGAAAAATACTCATTTAAATCATCATAAATATTAATGGTCAAGTCCATTGATCAATCTCTATTAAAAATCACGTTAATGGTTTATTCCATTGACTAATCTCAAATCACAAATCAATGGTCTATTCCATTAACGAATCTCATATTACATCACACGTCGATTGTGCATTTCATCGACCAATCTACTGCTCAATATCAAACCACGGTCATGACACAAAGTCTTGTGATAAGGCTACCAAGATTCTCCCTTAGCATGGTCTCCACCTACAAAACCGGTGGCTCGGCATAGAAGGCTATCCTAAACCGGTATGCATACCCCGAAACCCCTACCTGGGTTCACAGTCAAATTGAGCATCAAACAATCATCATCAAATATCAGAAATCCAATCCAGAATACATTTCACAAACCAAACAAATAACTTTATCGCAACACGGCTCAACTGCCTAGAAATACATTTCGTAGAGCATTTCTTGAATCATTTCCGAACTCATTTCATAAACTAGTTCATAATGCAATACACATATGTATCCTTTCACAATACATTTCCAAAAATGATTCTCAAATACTAAAAAGTAGTAAATGCCTGATCCATGCTTTTATGTAATAATAATGCTATAATAACTCATACGATATTCAAATCCTTATCACTTTCAAAACATGAGTTTATAAACTCAAAAAAGAGATAGCACCACTCACTTGGGAATGTCCCAAAACCAAACAACGTAGCTAAACGCACTGATGATCTCGTAATCCTATTAAGTGAACGAGAATTGACGTCAAAACCAAGTAAAACACTATTTTAACTAACAACTCAACTAAGTTACACTTAATCGCTAACAAAACGACTCTCACGGGCCCACATATCACTCGTCCAAAGCGATTATTTAAAGCCGTCCGCAACGTGAAGCTTAAGTGCGAAACTTGATCGTGCCGTAATTCTCTCCGCTGGATCCCGTTCGAAGCGAGCTTACAGTTAAAAAGGAAGATCTTTCAAAGTACTAGAAGACCCACAACTTGGCCATTCCAAAATTGTGCTCAAAACCAATGAAAATCGGCCTAAAGCCCGCTGGTCGTATACTGTTCACCACGTGCACTTAACTTTAAAAATTCGTTTCGGGCAAACGGTAAGTCCAAATTGAGTTCCGTAATATCCAACAGCTCCATGACATTCTAAACTACCAGTTCTATATATAAATGCAACTCAACGACTCAAAAATCGGACTTCGCGGCTTGATTTTCACAAAATTTCGAAATTATGACATAATCCCAAAAAATACTTCAATTGGCCAAATGAAGAGCGCGAGTACTTATTGGGCATTGCAATACGTAAGTAAATCCGGCATAGCAAGACGTCCATAGCATCAACGTGAAAAGCCCTCTCTCTCTTCTTTCTTCTCCCTCTTCTCTCTTTATCTTTTCTGTCTCGGTGAGCCCCTTTCTTTTCTCTGTTTATTTGCGTGCTCTCGGTCCGTTTTGTAAACTGAAGACATAACCTTTATGCTTCTTTGACTTTTTACCCTTTTCTTTTCTTGTCTTTTTTTTTTTCCTCCCCCTTTGACTCTTTGACCAGCGCTATTACGGAGAACGTCATCGTCGGGTATCCAATCACTATTGAGTCGACAGTTCATGCCATTTAAGGATACTTGACACAGAGCTCCATTAAGGACAATACCAGACTGTATACAGAAGTGGAGATAAAGATGAGCCCGCCTTTTAGCTGCTGGTGTTGCAGAAGATGCCCCCGAATTGGCACTCGCCAGCTTTCGCCACTTGCGCATTAACTCCTTGCATGTTGCTTCCCCTCCATTATTATAAAACTTTAGATTCAGCCACGTTTGGAATGGCATTTCAACAGCTCTTCCCGAAACAACAATGAACCCCACAGGATTCACCTCTCTTGCTCGAGTGAATTCACTTTGTCTATAGCCACGAGCAAGATATGTTTTCGAACTCTCCATACGGGATAGTAAATACCAAATTCTTATCCGTTAACGAGCCTCTTCAAAGCATTTGGTTAAGCATACAAAACGAGGAATAGTCTGCTTTTCAAAGCATCGACTATATGCATAGTACGAGACAGTGGGTGCATCGGTAATTATAAATAAAAAAACTTTTAATTAGCTGTTTCAACAAATGTCATGGTAAGAAAGTTCTATTCTCTCATTGGGCATGATTGATAAGTGTCGCGAGATGGTACCATGATTTGGTGAAGTCGAGTCTGACAATACTAGGCTTTAAAACAATAGGAGCTACTCATGGGTCATCCTGAATGGGCTGGGCAATTGTACCCAATTAAAAAAGTCAATTATATTATGTAAAAAAAGACTATTATTTCTCATAAAAAAGATCAAATCTGAGCAGCGAAAAAAATAATACTGGGATTGTCATAACTTCTGTACGACATTTAGGCTGCGCATGACAACGATTCGTGCAGAGCAGATTCTCGCTAAGAAATGATTCTTTTTATTTCGTCGAATTGATTGAGCATTTTAAGGCGTTTGTTAACGGCCCAAAATTCCATCCCTGGAATAGAAAAAAAGAGAAATGCGTTTGGTAACGCCACAAAATTTCTTTTTATTAATAATATTTTTAAATATTTTAATATTTCTTTCTTTTTTTCTTTTCTTTTTTTATTTTCCTCCTTCTTGGCCATAGCCTCGCGCTTTGGCCATGCCAGTAAAATATTTTTTATTAATAATATTTTTTTTTTTTTGCCATGGCTGGTCTAGCCATGACCAGGTAAAATATTTTTATATTAATAATATTTTTATTAAAATATTTTTATTTTTTTGGCCATGGCACTGTCACGGCTATGGTGGTAAAATATTTTTATTAAAAATATATTTTTTTCTTTTTTTTGGCCATGGCACGATCGCCGGACATGGCTTGTAAAATATTTTTTATTAATAATTTTTTATTTAAAATATACATTTTTATTTTTTGCTATGGGCTCGTGGCGGTAAAATATTTTTTTATTAATAATATTTTTATTAAAAATATATATTTTTCTTTTTTGCCATGGCACAGTGGCACCCGACCATGGCGGGTAAAATATTTTTTTATTAATATTTTTTATTAAAAATATATATTTTTCTTTTTATGGCCATGCACGGTTGCCATGGCCGTAAAATATTTTTTTATTAATAATATTTTTATTAAAAATATATATTTTTTCTTTTTTTGCCATGGCCTGGTCACCGACCATGGCAGGTAAAATATTTTTTTATTAATATTTTTATTAAAAATATATATTTTTCTTTTTATGGCCATGGCACGGTTGCAAGCCATGGCCTGTAAAATATTTTTTATTAATAATATTTTTATTAAAATATTTTATTCTCGTCGAGATCCAGCGAGGCGGTCCTCGGGCGGACATTAAAAGCTAAATT